CTCTATTCCTGGCTTCCACAGATGCCTCAGGCCCAGCCCCTCAAGATCAAAAACAGCTATGATTTTCTCCACCTTCTTCCCCAGCTGCAAGGGAATGACAGGGGGTGAGACCCTGTGAGGGTCACTGCCCCAACCCCTATCCAAGATGGGGCTGGGCCTAAGCCCAGGGCACTGGCCTGGCTTGTCTCGGCTTGCATGGCACAGAGATTGGCGGGGGGAAGGGGCCATCCCACAGGATGCCAGGACTGGAGTGGCCCAAGGACCGCCCTCTTCGTGTCTGTCCATGGGAGGGCAAATTGCTGTGTTGCAGTTCCCTCTTCGATCCAGTGAGGCTGAAATCCCTGTCCCCTTCATCCAATGAGGCTGCAGAGGGCAGTGTGGCCCAGTGGGTTGAGTGGGCTTTGGGGCCAGTTGGGGGAGAAATGAGTCCCAGTTCAGCCACATACTGTGTGGCCTTGGGTGGGTCCTTGGCCTCTCTGAACCTGCATTCACTCCTCAGTACCAGGAGGAAGGCGAATTCTGGGTGTGGGGCTCAGGGGGTGAGGGTGCTGTGTCCCGCTGCAGCTGCCCAGGGTGGCACCCACACACCTTCTGACTCTGCAGCTTACACTCCCGCAGGAGCAGCTCACAGCTCCGGAAGCTGTCTCTGAGCAACTCCTGTTTGGAGGCCAAGAGCAAGAGGCCCTTGGGGTCCAGGCTTCCCATGATGTGGTACCAGACAGGGCTGCCCTCACCGTCATGGCCGCATATGCCGTTGGCGTTGTACAGCCTGACCACCTGGATGCATACACAGGAGACGGAGGCTCAGTGCCGAGGGCCGAGGGCCCAGGGATCAGGGCATGGGTTTGAGAGATGCTCACCTCTGGGGGCTGCCAGGCAAGGATGCTGGCCAGGTCTTGTTGCTTCCGGAACTCCATATGCTGCAGAGACATGGCAGGAGGTGGTGAAGTTTCTGCCTGTCCCAAAGACCTCTGCAGATACCTGGGGACACCAGGCCAGGTCCCTCTGCCTGCAACCACTGAGGGCTTGCCAGAGCATCCCCAGGCTCCACTGACATAGAACTGGGGAATGGAAACAGGATGGGGATATGCATCTGAGAAGGCAGGAGAGACCCAGAAAGGAACAGGGGAGGCCTGCACTCTGCAGCTGTTTCCCCCTGCATCCTTCCAGATGTTTCCCACGGCCCCTCCCGCATGGCCACCCTGGGAGTCAGACTCTCCTCCCTGACTTCCAGTTGCCCTTAAGCAAAAACCTATACCCCCTACAAGGCCTGCAGGGCCTGGCTAATGGGTTGGGGCCACCCATGCAAACTCATCACTTCCCTTTCTGTCTCCAACACGATCTCCGTGTGCTCCTAGAATATACCAGCTCAGGCCAGGCACAAAGGCTCATGCCTGTAATCCCAGCATTTTGGGAGGCCAAGGTGGGTGGATCACCCGAGGTCAGGAGTTTGAGACCAGCCTCGCCAACATGATGAAACCCTGTCTCTACTAAAAATACAAAAATTAGCCAGGTGTGGTGGCGCATGCCTGTAATCCCAGCTACTTAGGAGGCTGAGGCAGGAGAATCCCTTGAACCTGGGAGGTGGAGGTTGCAGTGAGCTGAGATCACGCCATTGCACTCCAGCCTGGGCAACAAAGCAAGACTGTCTCTAAAAAAAAAAAAAAAAAAAAAAAGAATACACCAGCTCATTCCCACCTCAGGGCCTTTGCACGGGCTGTGCCCTCCACCCTGACCTTCACATGCTTGCTTCCTTTTGGGCATTCATGTCCCTACTGAAATGTCCCTGATCTCTCTTCCCTCCTTCCCTGTTTTGCTGTCTTCATTGTACTTTCCATTCTCAGGAATTATCTTCTTTGTTACTCTGGTTTCTTTTTTCTCTCCTTCCATCACTGCAGTCTCCCCAGCGCCTAGCGCTGGGCCAGGTTTACCTTCCAGTCTCAATGAATGTGTGTTCCATGAATGAATGAATGGATGGATTAATGAATGAATAAATTTGTGCCTCAGACTTGGGATAGGAAACAGGAGCAGGCTAGGCAGGGAGAGGTGTCGCCCTCACCTTCCGCAGCATGTCCTCTGATTTCTGCAGGTCAAAGCTCCAAGCTGCAACGAGAGACAGGGTTATGGCTGTGGAATTCTAGAGGCTCACTCCAGGTGTCAGGCCTCTGAGCCCAAGCCAAGCCATCGCATCCCCTGTGACTTGCACGTATACGCCCAGATGGCCTGAAGTAACTGAAGAATCACAAAAGAAGTGCCTGTAATACCAGCTACTCGGGAGGTTGAGGCAGGAGAATCACTTGAACCCCGGAGGCAGAGGTTGCAGTGACACTGCTTGAGCCCAGGGGTTCGAGACCAGCCTAGGCAACATAGTGAGAGTGTCTCTATAAAAAGAAAAAAAAAAAGAAAAATGTTATATAAGGTTGCCTAATGGCCATGGTGAGATTACGGATGATTTATAGAAATATCATTGTGTTTTTTTTTTTCTATGCCTTCCAGATTTTCCATGATAAACGGGCTCTGATTTTATAATCAGAGAAACACCCAGTGGATGTTATAAACAAATGGGAGTGAGGGCCTAGTGAAAGAAATCAGGCACATTCCTC